GGTCAAGCCCATATACTTTTATCAAAGGGCACGCATCTTGAACTAAGCGGTGCCTTGTTTTCACCCAGCTCAAAAAGGAGCTTATTGAGTTTTAAAGATATAAGATTGGATGGTTTCCATATTGAAACAAAGGGTGAAGGGAACAAAGAATTCCTAAATATAATTGAGATCACCAAAGGACATAAGAAAGTCCTAGAGACTATACCCGCATTATCCACTAGTCTCTACTATGCTAAAATCGATATGATCGAAGCTAATATGGCAATGAACAAAGAGTTCATCGAGAAATTCACTTTATGGCATGACCGGCTTGGCCATCCGGGTCATAGTATGATGCGTAAACTAATAACTAATTCAAAGTGGCACACCCTAAGAGAGAAAAGAGTTATCCCTAAGAATCTCACGTGTGAAGCATGTTCACAAGGGAAACTCATTATAAGGCCATCACCGGCTAAGGTAAATAAAGAGACCTTAAATTTTCTGGAAAGGATACAAGGGGATATATGTGGACCAATACACCCACCATGTGGGACGTTTAGATACTTTATGGTTCTCATTGACGCATCGACAAGATGGTCGCATGTTTGTCTCCTATCTACTAGAAACCAAGGGTTTGCTAGGTTATTGGCCCAGATAATAAGACTGCGAGCCCACTTTCCAGACTTTCCGCTTAAGACTATACGTCTAGATAATGCCGGTGAATTCACGTCCCAAGCGTTTAATGACTACTGTATGTCCATGGGGGTAAGTGTGGAACATCCCGTAGCACATGTACATACACAGAATGGATTAGCGGAATCCTTCATTAAACGAATTCAATTGATAGCTCGACCATTACTCATGAGGTCGAAGCTTCCAGTAGCCGCTTGGGGACACACTGTTTTACATGCATCAGAACTTATACGCATAAGGCCATCTAGTGAACATAGATATTCACCATCCCAATTACTCATGGGTCATGAGCCAGACATATCCCATCTAAAGACTTTCGGGTGTGCCGTATATGTACCGATTGCTCCACCACATAGAACAAAGATGGGACCTAAAAGGAGGATGGGAATATATGTTGGATTTGATTCTCCCACCATTATTAAGTATCTAGAGCCAACTACGGGTGATCTATTTAAGGCTAGATACGCGGATTGTCATTTTAATGAATCCGAATTTCCTACTTTAGGTGGAGAGACGAACAAGCTGGGTAAAGATATAAAAGAAATATCATGGAATCAAACATCCTTGAATTGGCAAGATCCTCGGACTCTGGCATGTGAATCAGAGGTCCAGAAAATAATAAATTTGCAAAAGCTAGCTAATGAATTGCCAGATTCCTTTGTTGACCCAAAGAAAGTTACAAAATCGTACATACCAGCTTGTAATGCACCAGTACGTATTGATATCCAAAAGGGAATCAATGAAATTGCTACAGAGTCTAACGCACGTAAGAAACGTGGTAGACCAATATGTTCCAAAGATAAAATCCTCGGAAATTAAAGAAAGGTGCAATAGGAACCGAGGTTATTAAGGAAACCATCCCAGACATAGAGATAAGGCCGGCCGGCTCTAAGGTACAGGTACCATATAATGTAGCTTGGGACGCCAAGCTGCAAAGTATTAAAGGTCCTGACTATAATAAATCTCAATCGATGATATCATGTCTGGAACATAATGGAACATATAAGAAATGTCGACATAAGATAATTTTGCGCACAAGGTAGCAACTGAAATAAATGAGGATCAGGAGCCCACGTCTATACTAGAGTGCACTCAAAGACTTGATTGATTAAAATGGTACAAGACCATAAAACGTGGAGCTAAGAATCATTAAAATGGTACAAGACCATAACCAGTAGGACACAAGTGGGTCTTTGTGAAGAAAAGAAATGAGAATAATAAAGCGTGAGATATAAGGCACGGCTTATAGCACAAGGATTCTCACAAAGACCGGGGATAGATTATGAAGAGACATACTCCCCTGTGGTGGATGCTAAGACATTTAAAATTTTGCTAAGTCTGGCTATATAAAGAAAAAGACTTGATTTGCGGCTAATGGATGTAATGCCTGCATATTTATAGAAGTCCACTGGATAATATATATGAGATTACCAGAGGGTATTGAGCTCAAAGATAAAGATAAGAAAGGGTCTCGGGACCAATACTGCATAAGGCTGAACAAATCGCTTTATGGACTGAAACAAAGTGGGCGCATGTGGTACAATAGATTAAGCGATTACCTAGTCAGAGAAGGTTATAAAAATGATCCCATCAGTCCATGTATCTTCATAAAGAAATTCGCAAACAAAGGGTTTGTGATTATAGCAGTATATGTGGATGATTTGAACATCCTTGGAACCTCTGGGGAAATCGCCCAAACAGTTGAATATCTAAAGAAAGAATTCGAGATGAAAGACCTAGGCAAGACAAAATTCTGTTTGGGATTGCAACTTGAGTACGTGAATAATGGAATCCTTGTGCATCAAAAGGCATATACTGAAAAAGTACT